TTTTATGCTGTGTTAGTATTCCTTGTTTAATAAATGTTTTGATTTAAAAATTTTTTTTAAAAGATTTAAGTTTAAGAAAAAAGATTGTTAAATGGTCAATTAATGTAGCACATAAAAACAGATTTACAAATCAACTGCATCGATGCAAAGTGAGAGATGAGATTTGCCAAAGACAAAAAATCAAGCGCCAAAAAATGGATGAAAAAGAAAAAAGAAAGTTAGAGCGTGAGCTATCCAAATTGAGTTTTAACGAAATTATTAATTCATGCAAGCGCTTGTCCAATGACCAACTATTTGATTTAGAAGATGTCATGTCAGATAGATTTGTTTGGAAGAAACTAGAACATGAATGGTACGATCCAAAAACATGCAAAAGTGTTTTATATAGCGAAAGAGTAGAAAAAGTTAATAAAAGAAAAAATAACTTTATTTACACCATTTCTTACCGGAAAGATGATGAAACTGATATTGGAGCTGTTGACTATTGCATGAAAAAGATCCAGCTTGCTGCTGATTTTGTTTCCAGTGAGTTACAATTTAATTAATTTAATAATACTGCAAGTGTTGTGACTTGTCAAAAATATGTTGCAAGTGTTGTGACTTGCATAAATAATATTTATTTTGAAACAGGAAATTTGTTTATTAACCGAAGAAAATGGTTAGCTCGTTAACCATACTGTATGGTTCTGTTAATGTGAGAATCACATGAAAGACAATAATATAGATATTTGCTATACTTGGTTATAAAGATGACATGTTTTTTAAACCCAATTGACTTAATTATAGCCCCACAATAGTAGTTGTATAATTTTTATAATAATATATAACCAATTAAATAATAATATTAAGTTAGAGGGGGAAGGGGCATTAGAATGCCTCTTTCCCCTTTAAAACATCATCAGCATATCTACTATGAGTTTTACATTCATCTTCCATATTTGATGGTTGTCTGATATGAATTTATTTTTTAATTTATTTCCAATTTCATGATTTCATTTTTAAATTTATTATTCAAATTTTGAAAACAGTAATTGTATATATTTTTTTAGGATGGGTGGGGGGGGGGGCATACGCCCTCCTGTAATAGAAACACCACTTGTAGACATAAGATCATGTATAACATAATTTTATATTGTATACTAATTTTACAACTTCCAGTAAAGATATAAATATAAAATCAAGTCGTTTTTGATACTAGGGTGTATCAAACCACCACCACCACACCCACCTCTTTTGCTAACATACACCTCTCATATATTTTAATGGTTAAGTATAAATTTAAAACAATTTGTTTTAATATTTATATTGCTTATGTCTTTAAAAAAAACTTTTTTTCTAAAAAAAGTGTTCAGTTTTGTACGAGGATGGTGGTGGTTTGGTGCCCCCTCTGTCCATCCGAAACGCCCAGTAGTTAGAGTTTAACATAAAGTTGTAGCCCACTCTTACACCTATCTTTTGACACTAAGATATTTGTTTTTTGATAAGAATTGACAAAGTTATGACAATTTAAGTAAAGAAAAACAATATTTTGACCACAGTTTCTTCAACAAATCCTAATATCGAAAAATCGGTACTTAAACCGTCATAACTTTTGAACCAATAGTTCGATTTTGATAATTTTTTCACCTTTAAAATACTGTAATAATCTTCTTTCTAATAATATATAACATTGTAGTATTCAAACAATTTGAAAATTTTACTCACGTACCTAATATATATGTATATATATATATATATATATATATATATATATATATATATATATATATATATATATTTATATATATATATATATATGTATATATATATATATATATATATATATATATATATATATATATGTATATATATATATATATATATATATACATATATACATACATACATATATATATATATATATATATATATATATATATATATATATATATATATATATATATATATATATATATATATATATATATATATATATATATATATTCTTCAGTTATGACTAGGAGTGTTTAAACTATTTATTTATAGAATGTAGAAATTTGTTTTGTTTTTTATTTGTTTATCTCTCCATTGACTTTTTAACCACAATAACTGCAAATACCTATATTGCATCCATGCATATATTACATACATATTTAAATATGTATGTAATAGGTATGTGTGTAAAAATTTTAAATTGTTTAAATATCAGATTGTTATATATCATTGGAAAGAATTTTGAAAAAATATTCCAAAATTGAAAATTTTATCAAAATCGGATGATTCTACAAAAAGTTATGAGCAATATAGTGACGAAATTTGATTACAAGGATTCCTTAACAAAAATGTGACCAATTTATAATGGTTTTTTAACTTAAACCGCCTCAAAATTGTCAATGCTTATCTAAATGCATATAACTTGGTATCAAAAGATAGGTGTAACATTGGGCTACAAACTTCATTCACTTTTAAACACCTGTTCGTATTCAGGGGGCTAGAGGGAGGACAGAAAAAACATCTTTGCTATCAAAAAATTCACATTTCTTCCATAAAAGGTTTTTTTTAAATATAAAACTAGTAATTATCATTAAAAAAGTAGTTATTTTTTTATAGGCAAGCAAGTATTAGTATTTTAGTATTTGTATTTTATGAAGAAGGTGGGTGTGGTGGTAATGGTACACACCCTAGTACCGAAAGATTTATTCTTATAAATATTTTTATCATTAATAAAATGAATAAAAATAATATAAAAAATAAAAAAATATATTTTATTAAACTATATATATTATAGTGACATAAATAAATTATAGGATGCAAAGCGTCACCTTCTCTCCCTCCCCCCCTCCCCATCAATCACAAAAAAAATTAAAAACAAAAATTAGCAGTATATAAAGTGGTAGAGTACGCTCCTTCCAAATCTTGAAACTTTTTAACGCTAAAAAAAAAAAGAAAAAGAAAAGAAAAGATAATGTATATATATGTATAATAAATAAGAAACTTACATAATGCGATTGTTTATGTGAACTAATAATAACGCTAAATTTAAAAAACGACAATAACATAAAAAATTATGTTTTAGTTTAAAACTTATTTTTTGGCTTTTAGTGAATGATTAAAAACAGTGAGTTCCAATAATGAAACTACCTAACAATCATTATTAACGATAGACACCATCGAGAAGGTAAGCCAAGTTGTCTATCAACACAAAACATAACAAAAACGACGAAAATCACGATGATAACATCATACAGTAGAATGCCGTTAAGTCGAAACCTGGATAAGTTGGATCATTTACTAACTTATACTGTTTTTTTGGTTCTCTTAGATAAAAAGCTGTGGACATTCGCTAAGTCAAACTATATATCTATTCCCATTGAGAGTCCAAAATAACGCAATTCTACTGCGTAATATGATAACTAAACATATAATGACTTACGAGTGCGTCAACACCGCGCCAGAGGTCCAACAGAACACAAACATATAATGACTTACGAGTGGGTCAACACCGCGCCAGAGGTCCAACAGAACACGAACACAAACATATAATGACTTACGAGTGCGTCAACACCGCGCCAGAGGTCCAACAGAACACGAACACAAACATATAATGACTTACGAGTGCGTCAACACCGCGCCAGAGGTCCAACAGAACACAAACATACATATAATGACTTACCGGTGCTCCACCACTGAACAAATAGCAACTAAATAAAATTATTAAAATGTAAAATGTTTGTGATATTGTTCCAAATTTAGTATAGAAATAAAAACACTTTGTTAAATATTACTCACAAATAAAAGAAACCAGCTACAAATAACATACAATATCACAGGTATAGATCACATCATATGTAGGTCACCAGTAATTACATCTGCAGACAGTTGATATTTACTCATATCATAGTCAACTGTATCGTCATCCTCATCAGCAGCTTCATCATTTTCCAGATTAGAGAATAGTTGTTTTACTTCGTTAGGCAAGCAATTTTTTCAACTTTTCTTCTTTCTTTGTTGTCTTTTTGCTGAAATTTGATCTCCATGTGTTTAATTAGTTCTATCTTAATTAGATCAAGTTGTTCTGTGTTGGAAAAGCGTTTTTTTTCTGGCCATGGAGATAGCCCATAACATCAACTTATTTCGAACATCAATAGGTTTATCACGGAGGAAATCAGTTGTTTTGTTTTTACATGCACGCAAATTTGATGATAAAAAACAAAGTGTGGCATTGGGAGATTTATGTTTTGCAGCACTAAACATACCCATGAGTTCTTCAGAGTCAATATTATGAAGCCGTGCTGAAAGAGTCTGGTCCTTAAGTAGTTCATTTGATGTCATGTTGAATTGTCTCTGGTACTGCCTGTCAATGACAATAATGACAGCATTCAGACAACAACCTAATGCTTCTCCCATTTTATCAGTCTGTGGACAAAAGCCAACAATAGAATTAAAGATTGGATCATTAAGATCATTTCCAAAAAAATCTGACTTTCGTTAAATTAGAGCAAGCGGGTTCTTGATAATCTCAACAAGATGGTTGCGAACATTTTTTACTACTTGGATGCCAGATATGTAGTCGAGTCCTTGACCAGGCCCAACATAGAACTTAGTCATCAGGGACCTGTTAGTAGCTTACCAATTAACCCTAAGGCACACAATTCAAGGATACCTAAAAATAAATGTATTATTATTTAAATAAACCAAATAAAATTTCACATAATGATTTATTTATTAACTTTATTTAAAATCTAACCTGCTTCTGAAGTAAAGTCTTGATACAGACTATTTCTCAGACCACCACATAATGTCACACCAGAAAACAGGAATGTTTTTAATATAGTATAGTTATGGATCAAAATTTCACATGTATGAAATAAGACGTGTAATCTATTTCCTCTGTAGCGTGGTAACAGTCCCCTTGGCAACTTGTGTTTGTCCAAAAAGATAACAAAACCTTTTGGATCACCTTTAATCAAGAAAACTAAGTTATATATATAATATAGAAAGATAAGAAGAAAAACATGATAAATTAAGGCTTCTGTTACTTTGTTAGATATTTTTTAGAGTAAATGGTTAATTTACTTTTACCATCCTTGTAGCGTAGTTTGTTAAGCTGTATAACAATGTTTGCTGCAATACAATCCCTGCCAAACAGTTTCCCTTTAAAAGTTTCCAATACTTTAAGTGAAGAATTGCAAGCAGAGGTCATTGTATCCAATGGGTGAAGATGGCAATTTAGTTCATTTAACGATTTCTGCCACAAAGTATTTAACTTAGTGACAGTTGCATGGTTTGCTGCCACTCTGTCACTCATCGTATTACTTATATTAGCAATAATCTTACTTCGTACTTCAATATATTTTTGCTCGTAAAAATTACTATACAACTTAGCAAGGTGATCTACAGACTGTGTCATATGACTTTGATAATCATTAGCTGTACCCCCAGCAAGTTGGTCAACAGCCACAACCATGCATCTTGTTTTGGTTGTAAAATGGACAGCATTTACATGGACACCCTCTTGTCTAGTAGCATCAAAACCCAAGGTCAGATTTTTTGTTGCAATAGCTATTTCAGCAGTCTGCAGATCTGTAATAACTCCAAGCTCACGCATCATCTGCTCTACAGTTGTACGATGTGGAATTTCAGTAAACTGATAGCCAGTAAATTCTCCAATTTTATGGAGCAGTGATGGCACACTATGTGTAGGCACATTACAAACAAGCATGTCATATATTAATGCCCTAATATCAGTAGTGTAGACTTTTGCATATCTCGTATTCTGGACATTGTGCTGTGTTTGCTCAACTTCCTCCTTTAAAATTAGCAATTCGTTTTGAAGAATTTGAATCTCAGCATTTCTATCAGAAATTTGATTGTTCAAAATATTAACTTGATAAGTAAATTCTGTCTTGGACAATGCTATTTGCTTTTTCAATCTAAGATTTTTATTTTGAAAACATTTAAGTTGTATGCTAAAACTCTGTTCATTTAATTTATTTCGAAGCTGCATGATTGTCTTGTTTTTGCGAGCAATTGTTTGATTTAATTGTTTAAGTCTATATGGCCTTGACTTGAACTTTTCTTTTAACTCTGATAAAACTTTTTTATGCTTTTCGATTTTTGTAGAAAATTCGTTTTCCAACATAGTTAATCTTTGCTTGAGAATTTTTTTTCTTGGACTCAACTGGATACCTCTCAATCGAGACAGTAGTGGTTGTGATTCTCCGGGTGTTGAATAACCTTGAGAAGATAATAAAAAAGCACTTGATTCAGTGGAAACTATTGGCACAATTGTGTTTACATAAGACAAATCAGATGTAAGTACTGGAGGTGCTTCAATAGTTCTTATTTCATGTATCATACCAGTTGTGGTAGCTGACTTAAAAAAAACTTCAGAACAAATGTTTTGAAACTTTTCCATGTTCCTTAACAAGTTTTTCTTATATAGATTGATGCTATTAACTACACATTTGATGTGACTTTTAGAGGTTAGCAAGCCATATTTTTCACCCACTTTTTTTGCTGCTGTAGTTCTTGAACATTTATTTTGAAAGTATACAAGTAAAACATGTCCTTTAAGACATACCTGATATGAAAAAGGTAGTTCAAGATACTCTGATTTCAGATGATTCAACATTAAACATTTCTTTGACATTTTAAAAACTCTAGGTACAAGTGTAAAAATTTAATTATATTATTTAGAGCACTAAACTCTAAATAAATAAATTATATTTATTTAATATAAAGTGCAAAATAAATATAGTGAATAATTCACAAAATTTTATTGTAACATGTTTAATAATATTAATGCTGCATGTTTAACATGATACAATAACCCTTTTTGTGAGAGAGTTTTTGTAGACGTTTATAACTTATAGTATAAGTTATGAACGTCTACAAAAACTCTCCTTCAAGAATATACTATAAGTTATAAAATAACAAAGCAAATATAATATATAAATATTTATAATTCTATGCAGTACATAATATATATATATATATATATATATATATATATATATATATATATATATATATATATATATATATATATATATATATATATATATATATATATATATATATATAATAAATGTAATATATTAAATAAACTATTACAATTATAATAATTTTAATAAAATATAATAACTATTGCAATAGTATATATACTATATATAGTATATATTGCTATATATAGCAAAAAATATATTTTAATCTTATTAATGAGTAAATAATGATGCAAATACTTGATAAAAATAATTTAATACTTTGAAAGAATAATCAAAAATACAACTAAAAGTATAACCAAAAAATTATATATCTTCAAAAGATTTAAAAAGGATTCTTTTTAAGAATCCACTAATGTCACTAGGTTGCTTATAGAAAAACAGCAAGTTAATAAATATACTTTTTGCACTAATCGGAATTTCAAAAAATATCACGTGACTACAAGAAATAAAAAAATGCGAACTCAGCGTAACAAGGCAAGAAATCCAGCATTTCATAGAAATACCTAGGGTGCTTGGGGAAACCCAAAACCAATGTGCGCTACGCCTGATTAATATAAAAATTGTACCAATATTAGACAAATAAATGATCTACAATACCTTAAAGTTTCATAAAGTACCTGCCATAATTTACAGAGCTGTGATTCTTAGAAAAAATGTGTTAACTTACGATGTAAAAATATATATGTTTTTTTTTTGTAAAGTATTCTAAAAATGTATCAAAATTTAGAAAAACCTTTTTTCTAATTAACTGCAAAATTTCAGAAAAATTGGTTGATAATTAGCGGTACTGTGTCGTTTGCCCTAATACGTGTCTTGGCCAAATTACAAAAGTCGGGTCACAGATTTTAGCTCGCATTTTTACGGCAAATTACGAACTTACGCACGTACCTATATGTAATATATGCTAAAATAATTAATAAAATATACATACATCTATTATGTATATATGTATTAATAAAAACAATCCTGCCTGCCTGTCAAAGACAAAATTAGATGTGTTTTTGTTAATTTTAATAAATTAGCAAAAATACATCTAACTTTGTCTCAAATAAATTTCTACGCTCAAAATTTTTTTAAAAACAATTTGAAAACGATAAACAAAACACACTAAAAAAGCTATTGCTGTAATTACATTTTATTCGTTTTTAGAGGTTTTATATTTAATTTGAAACATTTTATCGTGTACTAGAAGTTACTTTTATTATAATTTCCTTTTAATAAACGGCTAAATGCATATTTAATTGCTAAAAATTAGAAAAATAGCTCGTTGTCAATGAGAATTTTTTTTATATTCGTTATCCGTAGCCATTTGTAAAACTTTTAAAATATGCAAACTTTACTGCGCTTGCGGATAATAACTTTCCACTTATTTAGTAAGTCTGAACGACCGTGTGATTAAGAGGAGAAAAAAATTAAAAAAATTGAATGTTTTTAACTTTTTATGAATACTTTTTTTTTTTTTTAAACCTTTGCTTTAGTTTTAAATACTGCAATGCTGTTATTTTTTCGTTAAAAAAGTATTTAACTTTTAGTAACAACAATATTTTGCTAGTTAATTTTTAAATGAAAACAAACATGGGGTAAAAAGGCAGCAATCAAATAAAAATCAGCAATTTTAAGGAAGCAATCAAATAAACATTACAAGGTCATTAGAGAAAGTAATTAAATGCGTGTTTAGCTAAACATAAGGGATCGAAAAAAGCTTGCAGGTGTAATAGTGTTTTCCGCAATTTCCGCAATCCGTTCTTACGGTTCTTAGGTCTCTTACGTTGAGCACTTGGCGCGGTCCAAGTTATAATTGTAAATAACAAGAGTATTTCATGAAATATATATCAAAGTAATCTTATCTACGTGATTTATTGCTAGAGTCCCTTCTATACTCTTTAAAAACCTTGTAATAAAACAGGTAATAAAACAGGTTTATTACAGGTTTTACCATTTATCTAATACAAGGTTTTGTTCAAGTTTGATTTTAATTTAAATCACTGGAGATGTTGTAAATTTATAAAAAGATTTTTTTTAAACACAGTACAAACTGTATACATTTAAATCAGCAAAAAAGAAAAATAATTTCAGTTATATCTTAAAAAAAATCAAAAAATGTTTTTCTGAAAAAACTTTCAAAAAGCTACCGACTAAAGGAGAAGTGCTTAGATATTTTCATTATAGAAAGTACTTCATGATTTCAATTTCTTAACCTGTTAGACTCCAGAACATGATTGCCTGACCCTTTGTAAAATATATTTTTACGCGTAAATATAGTAATTGCGGTGGCAACAAGAGAAAAGCTTTATGTACGTTATTAAAGGCTTGGTTAACATAGAAATGAGAAAAGACTTTGCTTCTAATGTCATAAACAAGTAACGTATAAATAATAATTATATTTTTTGAGAAAATAATATTGATATTAATATCATAAAAATAATATTGGTAATAATATCATAAAATAATATTGGTATCAATATCATAAAATGTTAGTAATTTACTTTTTAATTTTACAATACAGGGATTTCACAATATTTGTAAATCGCAGAATCAGATTACTTGCAAGCAAAATTAAAGTACTTCATCTACTGGATAACTACTGGGTATAAAAAATCACACGCTGAATTTCAAAAAAAAAAAAAACTAAATTTTCTTTATATTTCTCCTTTACATGTTAATGGTATGATAATGAATATGGTCAATGGATCGAAAAGATAAAAGTTATAAAAAGTGTATCAAAAAAAAATTGTAAGGGCAAATCAGCTTTAAACTAAAATAACAATATGTAGAACAGTGGCTGACAATACTTCTCAATCAAGTCTAAAAATATTTTTTAATTCTGAAATTATGAAGATGAAGAATTTAAAGAATTCGCAAAGGATAAAGAATGCCAACTTTGTTACAGTTTCCGTATTGCCAAAAGATATAGTCAAATCATCATCAATTGTTGCGAAAATAAAAACAAAACTTCTACAACAGGTCAGGTAGTTATAACTGGAAGTATCATAAATGCATACAATGGAGATTTGAATAAGTTTTTACTATCAAAAACAACTTAAAGAAGGCAAAACAAAATGGTCTAAACAGATGAGTTAAAATAAAGAAAACTTTTATCTCTTTATAACTAAACATCACCAAACATTTGAAATAGCTAACTTCCAGACATGGATTAAACTCCAAACATTTGTATATTTATACTTATGTCAAATAATGATGCTTTGCAAAATATACGAGATTTGACGATAAAAGCCCTTAGACTTTATTTAATTAACGGCTTCAAAAAGCCCCTCACTCCAAACGTGAGGGGCTTTTTGAAGCCGTTGACATTGTATTTTTGATAAAACTGAGAGTAATACAGGCTAAATATTTGGAGCAGCATCAAGAGAGATGGAAAGGTAAGCCACTAATTCGGCTAGAATTTAGATACCACGATAGGATCTTTTATAACATGTGTACGCAGGTACGGTAGAGAGGTGTTAATCAGATACGAACCGAAGGAGTGCCTAGCCCTACTAAATTTACTAGTCGGCATATTGGACACCGAAGTCTGCAAAATTGGATCTATAGTTGGTAGTCGGCAAATGTCAGCTAACAAGGACCTTTTCTTAGAATATGAAATATTATAAAAGTTACAGATGTTTAATTAAAGTTTTTATAAATGTCCAAAGTAACCCTGCTGGCCAAAGTAGGCCAAGTACTAACCCCGTGTTACGGTGGTTGATTTTTTAATAAATAATGCGTATATATGTAGAAGGTTTGGGGTGAGATAGAAAAAGGGGTTCCTAAATAGTGGATTTACTGCATACGTACTTTATTGATGAGATAAATAGAGGGAAATAAAAGTAACTGGCAAATTTACAAAAAGACCTACAGACAAATTATTTAAAAATTTACTACAATAAATGGGATAACATGTAATAAATTTTAAGTATTCAAACAAGTTTGACTGGAAATGTAACTGTAAAACATTTATTGAAAGCAAAGTAAGATAAAATCTTTTAAGATAAAGACTTCTTATTAACAGAAGCAAAGGTCGAAAAAAGTTAAAAGTCGTTATGAGCGCGCTTAACATTTTTTTTTCTAATTTAAAAGTGTCATTTTTATTAAAGTTAGCGAAACTCAAAAAAAGTAGCGAAGTACAATACTTTAGAAAAAAATACTTAAGTAAAAGTACACATTTAAAAAAATATTTAAAAAGTAGAAATTTCTCAAAATAACTACTCAATTACAGTAACCTGAGTAAATGTAATTCGTTATTTTCCAACTCTGAGCTGAACAGAAGAAATGTAGCATTTTATTAAAAAAATCTTTACACCTACAGTCAAAGTACTAAATAATATTTAATTAATTTTTAAACTTTCAAGTCATTGATTATAGTATAAGATTAAATATTTTGATTCGAGGGGTACGCGGACTAAGAAGTTGCATGGAACCCGAAGGTAGAGCTTTTATCGTTTAATTTAATTCGCTTTAATTCTGGAAACCTATATTATTATATTTTTCAAATTTCAGTTTGAGGGCCCAGTTATTTGTACCACTGAGGGCCCCAAATTAATAAAATCCGCCATTGGTATTATGTTATATTTTATTTTTAAAAATTGGGAAAAAATAGGGGTCTCAAAGCCCTCCACCCGGTTCCGCTTTCACTGATTATTTAAAACAGGAAAATTCCGAGAAAAGTTTTAAATTTTAAAAGACTGGCGGAACTAGTAAAAAATAAGTTATATTATATACAAGAATGTATATACTTTTCTCTATGTATTTATTGAAAGTGATGCCGTTTTTGGTAAGCGATATTAATAAAGAAGTAGGCATGAACTTCCAAGTAAAATGCTTTTCTGCGATGCTTTTTAGTAAAAGTTTCAAGACATTTTTTAAACACTTTAAAAAGCACATTAAAAAAAAAATTATTGCTTAAGTCGCATAGTAGGATAAACTGACCTATTTCTACCACTGCATTTATTATTTAAAAAAATAATTCACATAATTGTGTATTAACAAACAAATTTGTATATAAAAAGGTTACTTGGCAATAAATATATTTATATAAAGATTTTAATAAAATTAACATGTTTAAGCATCAATTTTTTAGATTTAAAGACCCATTTCTGGCCATTTAATTCAGATTGTATAACAAAATTAAAGGAATTATTGATCAATTTACAAAATCCAAATAAATGCATAAACAGTTTTATTATAATTATTTTCCAATACTACTTGCAATTCGAGAAATTTACAAACGTTTTAGAATTTAAATGTTATCATGAAAATATTGAAAATACCAAACATTGAGTTTACAAAGACAAAATTTTTTTTTTAAATATTTCAAGCATGTTTTTGAAGCATCGAGAAGTCTTCGTATATTTTAAACTGAATGTTTAAAAAATTACTAAACTGAAATATTATTTTTTTATTTTATAACAGAGTGATCCACTCCTTATTAAAGTTTTTAATGCTTTAATAATAAATTGCCCCGAATCAGGTTAGTTAACCCTACATTAGGGTGTCCCAAAAAAAAAGCTCTACTGATTCCTATTCTATGTGACCTGAATAAGTCCTAAAAAAATTTGACGGTTTTATTTTGACAGAAAGTGCAAGATGTAAAATCTGAGTTTTACGGTTTTAATGTTAAGCTGGTTTAACATTATTAAAAGAAACATTTTTTTTTTTAGAAAAGTAAAGTTTATAAATATGAAAATACAAAAAAACAACATAAAAACTAATATTTATTAGCAAATTTTAGATTTTATTGCGGTGAAACATTTCTCAAAAAGTACAACTTTTTAAACAGTTTCCAAGCTTCTTTTTGGTCATACTCTTAGTCAAGTTTTTTCTAGACTTTTTTTACTACAAAAAGTACATTTTGAAGGTGACCCAACGGGCATTCGAGCATTTAATCAACGTTTAGGTAATGTTCGTTCTAAATGTTTAGATTTAATTTAGTTTCGATTTAGAACCTAGGTCAATCGAATGTTCCATTTAAACCATATCTAAATGGTTCGTTTTAAACGCTATTTAAACTCCATCTAAATCTTTCGTTTAAAACTTCACGACGTTAAACTTTATTTTACGGCGCTTATTTAAAGAAGCATAAATAAATACAAAATATTGATAAACGAATCAAACTTTTCTTTTATTTAAGCTGCTTTAAATAAGCACCGTAAAAAAAAGTCAAACGCTGAACGCATTATCTAAATACTCATAAACAAATCAAACATTAAACAAATAATTTTTTAAGTCTAAGATACAAGTAAAATCATTTTATTTATTATTATATGCATTATCGTATTCGTCATCATGATCGGCTCCATAATGATCACCGTCATCTTTGTTTGAACCGATTAAGCCTCTTCGTCTTAAGAATTAGAAAAAAGGGCATAACCTTTCCTATTTCCACCTATACGGAAGGGAGCCATTCTAAGATGGAAATCAATGCACGATACCGTATTGCGGATACCGAAGTCATACAATTTCTTTTCTAAAAATAATAAAAATAACTCAATAAACATCTTCATTCTATTCATATAAATCATTCATTTAACAACTTTATAAATCCATAGTTTTATAGATTATAGAAGATTGTACATCAGTAGAGTGTACATTGAGAAATTATGGTAACAATTGACAGAGAACTTTTCTTTAAAACTCTGTAAAATATATAACATTTATATAATAAAAACCTTATTAAAAAAATTTGCAGTTATCGCAGTTATGGAATGATAAGTTGCATAACTGCAGGACAACTGCAGTGCTCTTCCTAAACAAAGTAATACAATATTATATAGTATTCTATTACTTTATAACAATATCTGTACAACATATATATATATATATATATATATATATATATATATATATATATATATATATATATATATATATATATATATATATATATATATATATATATATATATATATATATATGTATATATATATATATATATATATATATATGTATGTGTATGTATGTATGTATGTATGTATGTATGTATGTATGTATGTATGTATGTATGTATGTATGTATGTATGTATGTATGTATGTATGTATGTAAGTATGTATGTATGTATGTATGTATGTATGTATGTATGTATGTATGTATGTATGTATGTATGTATGTATGTATGTATGTATGTATGTATATATATATACATATATATATATATATAAAGTTTGATAACTCCCATTAGTCATTGTCTTGAGGAGCAGTAGGCACACTCAGTATCCTGTTTAATTGAAACTTTCTATTTAACTGAAAAGTTGTGGAGATTCCGACAGTTTCACTACAATATAAATAAACATGTAAAAATAAAATTGTAATTCTTACACTTCTTAAAGTTTAAAAACTAATCAACAAACATAATAATTAAAATTTATATATCAAAATCATATGTATGTACTAACACGCAATTCAAGATAAAAATTAAGTATTACTTGATCAATCCATTAGATTGTACTTTGATATAGTAGTTATGTGGATAATGGTATTTTAGAACTCAATTTTTGGGCTTACAGAAAAGGAGACTTTGCAAGTACTGATTGGTTAGCTATTATGTGAATAACTATATAGATATATTATGTATACAAAGTTATTTTAAATAAAAATTTACTAACATTGTAAATTTGATTTTAAAAAGTCTATCCTAAAAGGATTGCATTGCTAAATATGTTCATAAGTCATAAAATTAACAGGTTCATCTAAAAACAAAGGAGTTCTATATAAAAGATATAGGTTTAGACATCTTACTTGATTGGTATTTGGTCTAGAGTCTTTTGGTAAAGTAGTCACACATAATTTGAATAAAGATATCTTAGAATGCGATTTAATGCTTGAGACAAGGTGGCTGTGGAAGTGGTGATGGTTTAACTAAAATATAAATCTGAGTGAATATTGTCTGAGATATGTTCATTACAATTATTATTAGTCTTCAAAGATGTAAAGTAGGACAACTTACTTGCATAATCAATTGAATATACTTGCAGTACCACATTCATAATCTTTTTGTATAACTAAACATTTTTTTTTATACTTGAATGCATCATTCGTGCATGCTGTATTATAATATAGCATGCATGAATAATGCATGCAAGTATTTTTGGCACTAAGGTCTTCACAAACTTTATTTCATGTTTATTGTAACATCAAATTAGCTAACCTGTCAATATTCGTACCTTTTGCATTAACATTAACATAAAATTCTTCCTCAACTGAAAAATAAAAACTATTTTACTATACCGTAAAAATACTATAAAATATTATTTGCTTTAACAAGCGATTTATTCAATTTTAAGTGCAGTTTTTCCATAATTAACCATTTCTACTGTAATTGCATTAAACTAGTAATATTAACTCTGAAGAAATTAAAAAAAAAATAATTTAGATTAGAATAATGCACAATTATGGATTAATTATATGTTATTATTTTCAGTTTATATATTATTAGTTTCTATATAAACATTAACAAATTAAAATGAAACCTTTAAAAGAGTTGTATAATCAGTACTTTTGCGCTTTTTTGATATCTGCTGATTATCAATGCTTTCTTCAGTTTCTGATATTTAAAAGTTTTGCAATCCTCATAACAATCTGTAAAAGGAATAACAAAACATCTTATACAAAGCAATGACAAATAAATTTAAAAAGTAAATTATTTAACATTTTGTAAATAAAAATTATAATATCACAAACTAAAATAACAATTCAATAAAATATCAAGCTTTTGGTTTTTCCAACAGACTGGCGATATGACATTTTGCTAAAATGTTAACATTAATTTGGTTGAAGGTACATCAACACATAACATTAACTTGTAACTAAACTTGTTAAAAGCGTTTTAAATAAGTTTAGTCGTCTAGTTTTTTAGCTTTTTTTGCAGACTTTAGTTTTCCTAATTCCGAGGGATGATATACTTATACATACTATATATTTCAACCCGTTAAAATTTCAAGCTTGGTAGGTCTTTCATAACATAATAAAATAAAATAAAAAAATAATGCTATAAATATTTCAATAGCTTTTAGATATAGAGCATAAGATAAAAACTAAACAATTTGAACTCTCTTTTAACTAATTTAAACTTTAAAGACTCGAACCAATCATCAACGTACCTTTTAAATATAACAGGAATTACCTTTAATCTTACATTAATTTTTAAGCGTTGAATTTTTATAAATAGCTTTTCAGAAGCTTGAGCATTTAGATTATGATTTTAAAGGTAAATATCTGACAGATGTTCAACTATTAGAATCTTATCTAAAAGTACAGTGTTAGCACTTTATTTTGTGATTTTTTTTTATTTTTTTATTTTACTTCACCTCCTCAAGGCCGAGAAGGCCACTACAAACGAGGAGGCTACTTATTTTGTGGCTATAACCCTCTCTCAACTCTATAACTCCGAAACACGAACCTTGACGAACAAGGCCGCTGCGTGGAGAAACGTGTTGAGCGCGGTACTACCAGGGACGTGGTGGGGATCGAACTCGGAACCACTCGTTTATGAAGCGAGCGCTCTACCACTACACCACTACCGCATTACTAAAAGAATAACTATTAGTTTTAAAAATCACTGCAGTTTTTATTTACAGAATGATCTTTACAGAAATAGCCATTAACTTTATTATTATTTTAGAAAAATCTAAATCTTAAAGGAGTAAAAACGTCACAAAAAACAACTTACCACTTGCATGTGTACTTGGCTGTTTCCTGCTGCTTTAATTGTTGTTGCAACTGACTGGACTGTATATAAAATATTAAACGAAATTAAACATACAAAACTTAACAATAAAAAATATATTTATGCGGATTTCAAAAAATTATGTAATATAGCTATATATATTATTGTTCAAACCATGTTAACTTTTCTACTAAAGAGAAAATAAATGATACAATATAATCATATCATATAAATCATATCAGACATAAGTAAATTTATTTTCTCTTTTATGGTTATCATATAGGAGTACGAATAATACTTAAATTTTTAAAAATATTTTTTAGTTTACATTAAAAGCCTTCACTAAAACTGAAGATCCATTATATAAATATTTCAACCTCACAATTTTTAATTGGCACTGACTGCACTAAAAATATAAATATTAAAACATTACTATTCGATCAAAATAACATCTATCATAAACAAATAGATGTTAGGTCTTAATATAAACAAAAAATAATAATTTTATTTAGTTATTTAAAAAGTAGCTACGACTTAAAATGCATAATTTTCCTCTAAAACTTTTAGAGAAAATTTATGCATTCTAGTAATATTTTAGCGTTGTTAAAAACCAAACAGAAAAAACAATTTAAGAAATAGTTTAAAAAGATGCGGACATTGCTACTTTTTTGAAACTACTGCTACTTTTTTGAAACTGCTATTTTAGTAGCTATAACTAAAAAAAAGAATTATCAAAATATATTGTTACTGTACTTAAAATTACTTTTAATCGCTCATACAATATTATCGAAGAACTTACAGGACTTTTTAACTCCTTCATTAGCCACAATATAATACTAAAAACAAATTTCTTTTATTGTTTCTAAACCTTTATTACATAATTTAAGATTAATAAGAAACTCTAATTTTTAATCATAATGAAAGATTCAAAATGTCCGACACATTTTGTTCCGTACGGAAATTGTTTGATTTAGTTTTTCAACGCAAATTAAATATTCAGAACACGTTTAGAATAGATTCCTAAACGTTTAGATTGACGTAAATGCCATCTAAACGTGATCTAAACCAATTTTAAACCAACAAATGCCCGTTGGGGATCTTCATCTCCAGTAGCTGAAATAAAATTTTTAATGAACTTAATGTTTCTTTCTTTACCATCATTTACAACAGATATGTTTTTGATCCATACAATAAAATCTAGCAACTCAGGATAGCTAAAAACATCTATAGAATTAAGACTATTATTGAGCCATTTTTTTATACTTGCTCTTGATATTTTAAAATGTTTAAAGAGAAGGTAGCTTTGCTTGTAAATCAGCTCAGGTAGCTCTGTGGTCTCTCCTATTTGTACATTTGGTGGTTTACAACGCTGAAATTCATTTGGCTCTTCAAACTCAATCAGAGCTAACAGCATTTTTAGCTTTGTTTCAGAAGAAACTTCTTTGTCCCCAAAGAACAAATACAGAGTTGCAGAGTTAAGTACTGCGTATGATGTCTCATGCTGAGAAGCAAAGCATTTTCAATCAAGGGAGCCGGAAATCCTAAAAAAACTCACAAAAACCATGGAACATAGCAAGTTGCAACGAACAAACTTGCATCCTTCAACTGCAGCACTTCTTTTTCTGTCAAGATATGACTTTTATATCTTTGGTCATACAAAATGTCAGGATGTAGTAAGAAGGAAAAAGCTTACAAGCTATACTATATTCATTCCTTGAAAACACCATATCAGTAATTGCATTAGTCAAAAATATCTTAGCTTCCTCTGCAACAGTGCGAAGAACAAAGCCAATCTTCAGATCATCTCTTTGCCAGTTCAATTTTCATAAATTTTTCACTTCATTAACTTTCTCGCAAATTTCAGGCGACTTCTTTTTTAGCTTGACATAAAGAGCTCTTCTTGAACCTTTAGTTTTCTCACCAGTAAGAGCAGCCATATAGTGAGATACATTTACTTCATATATGTGTCTCCTACACTTTTTATCCACAACATTCGCAATTTTAAACTTCTCGAATGACTCCGCCTGGATTGCTTGCAGTTGTATCACAGCACATACCAATGATCTGCTCTTTATATCCATAATATTCAAAAAGATTGTGCACTTGTTCCGCTTGGTCAACTCCATTTAAAGAGGAACAACACCTAAAAGATGGTCTTTTATGGTATCAATTTTTTGAATAATGTTAACCCAGTAAGCACAGGACGTTTTTAAAACGTTTAAAAACTTATTAAAACAGACATAAACGTTTTTTAAACGTTTTAAAAACAATCTGTGCTTACTGGGAAGCCCAGTGGTAATTTGTTCCAGCAGTTTGGTATCAAAATAAGCCGTCGACCTATAGATGATCCGTTATTGAAATCCGCTCCAAGCTTCCTTCTAGTTCTACATATTTAAACTTTTATCTATGAAGTGTGCTTTGTGAAAGCGGTATATCATTAATTTCTATACCTCCAGCTTTAAATAATTCACTTAAAATTGCCAGATGAGATCATACTGCAACATTGAACCCTGTTGCTGGAATAGCATTACATTCAATGAGCTTTTCAACATTTACTGCTGAACTTATCCTACCTTCAGAATTGTACCTAATTATCATTTTATAATATTTTTCTACCTATTTATAATTATATACTTTTCAATAAAACCGCTTTAGTTTGTAAAAATTACAATAATATTATTAAAATTAAACTATACCTGCGTTTTGGACCGTTACCCAGAAAATCTTCTTCCTCGCTGATTTTAGAGTCTTCGTTTGACTTTTCTTCCTCACTGCAGATTTGAATCTCTTCTGCCATGGAGTCATGTGACAACAAAACATCATTAATATCTTTTAAGTTTTTCTGTCCCTCTAATTCTTTATCTCTCAACTTATCTAGCTTGTTCTGAAATGAAATTTGAAATGAAATAATATGCTATTACTTAAGTTACTTTAAATCGTAAAAAAAATCTCACTAGCTAAAAAAGTGTTATTTAATGAACTTACTTTATATCTTCCAGCTTGGCATCATCTGTTCTCAATCTATCAGCAAGAATATCTTTTTCAAAATTCGAGATGTCAAAAAGCTGATAGGATTCGGTGAAAAAATCTTTCTCTAACAATTTAATCAATTTTTTGTATTATTAATTAAGTCTAATGATTTCAGTCTGTATATTGTACCCAGAAATCACAAATTTCTTGCCAAACTCAACCTTATCCTAAATTTTTTTAATCGTTCTCAACAAGCTAGAATTGTCAGAATCAGTACAAACACCATTTTCACAAACAAGATCCTTGGATTTCTATTTTAATTTGCAATCAACATTAGTAGAAGTAGGTTTGTATTTAACCTGTGATTCGCAAAGGATATACTGAT